AAAGTGAATAGGGAAGAAAAACTAAATGAAGAGTTATTTCCCCAAACATATAAAAACTAGACTGTTAGACACATTTAAGATTTTTCTCGTATATATATTTTTATTTCAAAGTATAACAGGGTACAAATAGTTTTGTTTATAAGGATCACTTTTGTAATGTTTGTTTGAGTCAGGGTTATAACTGTGCTTGTCACCCAGATGGTGTTCGTTGAGCTTCTTTGTACCTGGCTATCTAAGTCTCTAGTAAGACCAGGGAAATTTTCCTCAATTATTCTCTCAAATAGGTTTTCCAGCCTATGGGTTTTCTTCTTCACCCTCAGGGATGCTTATGATTCTTGTATTTGGCCATTTTGTACAATCCCATATTTCTCGTAGGCTTTGTTCATCCCTCTTAATTCTCTGTTCCTTATTTTTGTCTGACTGAATTAATTCGAAAGAGTTGTCTTCAAGCTCTAATATTCTTTCTTCTGCCTGATCTAGCCTATTCTTAAAACTTTCCCCTTTGTTTTGTATCTCCTTAAAGGAATTTTTCATTTCGAGTAGTTCCATTTTTTTAAAAATTTTTCGATCTATTTAGTCAATTTTTCATTCATTTCCTGAATTGTTTTTCTGGTTTCTTTGAGTTGGTTTCCCATTTTCTCTTGGATTTCATTGAGCTTCCTTACAATCCATATTTGGAATTCTTCATCTGTCATTTCAATATTTTTGTTTTGGTTGGTATCCATTGCTAGAGAGCTGGTGTTCCCTTTTTTTGGTGTCCTTTTGCTCTGATTTTTCATACTTCCAGAGTTCTTCTGCTAATTCCTTCTCATTTGGAGCAGCTGTTCCTTCTAATTTGGGGATTTTCTTTTTTGTAGATGGGGCTTTTTGTCCCCTCTCACTTATATGGGTGTGTTTGTAGCATACATTTGGTAAGAACCTTTAACTTTGCTTGTGGGAATTTGATGGTGCTCTAGTTTCTGGATGGATGCCTTGGTCATAGATACCCTGAGTGTGGTTGTTTTCTCTTAGTGTAGTCGTTTGTAGGCTGTACCCATGGGGAGCTATTTGACTGGGAAAATTCCCTGTCTCTCTTTGATGAGGGAGGACGGAGGTCTTTGAAATCCTTTCTCTTTCCCCAACCTCGTGGTCTCCTTAACAGTGTGAATTGAATTGGCATGCCAAGTTTAATCTCTGAGACAGTAGGTAGTGCTTATGGGTGAGAATTAGCCATACCATGTACCATGGAGTCAGTAGGTGCTGTAAAGAGTTGTGCAGATTGACCTCCCTGTCAATAGGTGGTGCTCGCTTGAAGGCACAAGATGTGGTGTTGTTTTAGGGACTTGTGACCAGCTGTGTTCCCTCAGGATAAGCACTCAAATGCCCTAGGTTGGGTGGAGCCCTAGAACGTCCAGTTGAGTCCCTATTCTCTGCCATAGCACAGACAGGTTATGGAGTGAGTCTAGGCCAGACTAGTTTGGATGAACCAGCCCCGAGGTTCCACAAAAGCCAGCAATGTAGCTGTTTCGGCAGGCCTCAAAGGTCCGCTCCCAGCTTCTGGGGAAAGCCACCATGGAGGGGCTGCCCCACTCAACCAGAAAGCCTGCTTGTGGAGATGATGCCATCTGAGATTTACAATCTGACTGTCAAGAGTGGATTTCACTCTTCTCCCCACTCCCCTCCTCCATGGTCTCCCTCCACCATCTGCCTTTAGGCAGGAGCTTAAACTAGCTAAACTCCCCCACTATTGTACTGGGGTACTCCCCCCCTCCCAGAATCCTGTCCTGTACTGAGAGCACAGCCTTCCTGTGGGACGAAGTATGCTCCATGAGTATGCCACAGCTGGGACTTACACTGCACTCCCCTCTCAGTTGTGCCCACACAGGCTTCCTCACCTCCTGAGATTAGTTCACAAATCTACCCTCCATGCCCCCGAGCAACATCGTTGAGTCCTGGGGGTATGGGATATGGCCTGCAGGCCTGTCCCCAGGTCTCCGAAGATCAATCCCTGACCATGCCAGGGAGCAGTGTCCTTGTCCCGAGTTACCTATGGGGTGTTCCAGCAGGTTTGATGTCCCTCCACTTCAGGGTATGCCCTGCTATGATACAGCCACCAGGCACGCAACACCTGGGAGGGTCAGTGAGTAGGGAGTTCACAGTCCGAGCACCATTAGTCTGCTACAGGACTTTAAGAGGGAACGGTTTGAGCCCCACTGTCTGTAGAAGCTTCGATGATCACTCAGTTGTCTCTCTCAGCAGTTGTGGGTCGGGGAGGGGAGGAGGAGTAAACGAGTCTGTATGGAAGAAAGCTAGCACTCTGGTCATTTCTATCCCCCTCTCCGCAAGGCAGCCCTCCTAGAATGTCCTGGCTCTGGGGTCACACAGATCTCCTGGAACCCACTGGACCCCTGTGGCTCCTGCTGTCTGGGCCAGAGTTGGAAAATGTTTGCATGGGAACAAGCAAGCTGAAAACTGAGAGGCTTAAGCCTCCTGGGAAGGACAAAGGCACGTCGTGGGCTGTGGAACAATATGGCACCTGCCATCTTGGTTCGGGTCTGTGGTTATGGGAAGCACTTCAAGGGGGCTGGGAGCCTGGTAGTTTGTCCACAAGAAGCTTCCAGTTCTCTGGCTGCAGTAGCTTTTGGGCTCATGGGGGTAGAAGCAGCTCAGAAGCTCGCTGACTGTCAAAGATGTGAGGGTGGGAGAAACAAACTGCTCCACCTACCCTTTCGACTGGACTCCAAGCCTCTAAGGGCTTGATCTCCACCGATATCTTGCTCCTCCTTATTCTGCTGTGCAGCTTCTTCCCGTGGAGTCCTCCAAAGGTTCTGGCACCCTTCCCTCAGAATTATAACTGATCTATGTTTATCTGTTTGTTTTTTTCTCTTTCATCTAAAACCTTTCCTTCCTACTGAAGTACTCTGGCAGTTGGAGTCTCTAGTTAGCCATCTTCCCACTCCCTATTGATTTTTCATATATTAAACCATATTAATAAGAAAAGATGTACAAAGTCATCTTTAAATAGATTTCATATTTTTCTGGATTGCTCCAATAAAGAAAACGGGTCTCAGTTGAGAAATGAGCCTTCTTTTAGTCAAATCTCACTTCTACCACCTTCCTAAGATTTTCAGTTAATATAATTCATTCTTTACTTAGGAGCCTACTATATCACTAAGTCAGTGGTTTCCAGACTATGCCCTGCCCCTTTTGGGGGATCCACAGGGGTATTTCAGGAATTCTGAGTAGAGCCTTCTGCATTCAACCAGACATATTTATTTTTTATTTCATGTATTCTATATAACTTTTTATTTGTAGAAAAATTTTCACTGCTTAGAAAGAAATCACTGACCTAATTCATTGTCACGTGCATCCATCTTGGACCATATCAAGGATATCAGATATCATAAATATTTTAAGGTTATTGTTATTCAAACTTTCTTCTAACACTTAGTCCTATGTTATGGACCCTGAATATGTTCACAGAAAGTTCTAACATGTTCAGCTATTTGTAGTTTGTGAAGACTAGTTAGTATGCTTTTATAAATATTTTCATTAGAATATAGATTTTATTTTATGTGCATCTTTAATGAAAGATTAAGTAGATTATCCTTTGTTATTTTAAGATCAAATAACTTAAAATAGACTTCCACAGATATATTTTATATTGGTTATGTGAGAAATAGTAAACATACTTGATTACTTTAAAATAATTAATGCCTTTATTTTTCCAAATTTATACCTTTACTTTTGCCTCTGATCATGCTGCACATTGCATACTCATGTGCTGCCTTCTCTCATTTTTCCCTTCCTTGAATTGCCAAATTTTCAGAAGAAATAACCCATACTTTCTGCCTCTGTTTTCTTTCCATCCACACTTTCCTTTATCCTTTATAGTTTGGCTTCTGCCCCAATCACTCTTCAAAAGCTGTTCTCCCTAGAATCACCAGCACTCTTCAGTGACCAACCAGTGTCCTTTTCTTAGTCCTTATCTTCTTGATCTCTATATAATTGCATACTGTTGACTACCTTCTCTATGAACTCTTCTTCCAGGCTTCTGTACTCTTCCAATTCTCCTATATCTGTTTCTCCTATATTTGTTTCTTTTCTTCGGCCCTACTTACTCTCTATTTGCAAAGTTTCCTGATGCTTTTTGTTTTTTGTTTGTTCATTTTTGTCTTCTACATGTAAAGGAATCTTATGACTACATCAGTGATGACTCTCAAAATGTATATACATAGCTCAAATATCTCTTTATTTTACTGGTTTCACTTCTAAGTGCTTCCTAAAAAAAAAAATCTTTGGGTACTTATCATCTTTGCATCTGAAGCTTGCTTCTTTTTCTTGGATCACTATTTTAGTGGGCACCACCATCTTCCTAACCTCCCAACTTAAAATCTCACAGTGTTCTTTGACTCTCCATTTACCCCTCATATCCAGTCAGTTGCCAAGTTTTATGAATTCTACAACTCTTTAATAGCACTTAAATCTCTTGTCTAAAGTTTCTATTGCTATCACCTTAGTCTCTAGCCTAAGTCAGCTTGGACTGCCATAATAAATTATGGTAGACTGGGTAGCTTAAACAACAGACATTTATTTTCTCACAGTTCTGGAAGCTTAAAGTTCAAGATTAAGGTGCCATGCGAGTTGGTGTCTGAGAGTTTTTTTTCCCTGGCTTATAGATGGACACCTTTTTACTGTGTTCTCACATGGCCTTTTCACTCTGCACAGAGATAGAAAGAGAGATAGAGATCTGGTATTTCTTCCTATAAGGACACCAGTCCTATTGGATTATGACCTTATCCTTATGACCTCATTATCCCTAATTACCTCCTTAAAGGCCCTGGTTTCCAAATGTAGTCACATGCGAGTTACAGCTTCAACATACGAATTTAGACAGTACATAGTTCAGTCCATAACACCTAGACTATTAGATTAATCATGTTATTGTAGTCACCCACAACCTTAGTCTTTCCTCCTTTTAATCCCTCCAGTTCACTCCTATTTTCTTCCTATTTCACTGGTTGGTCCTTCTTAATTATCTTTGCTGATTTTTCTTTATGTTTAAATTTTGAAGCATCTCAGGTCTCAGTCCTCAGCTATCTTTTCTCTCTTTACTTACTCTCTCAGTGAGCTCTCCCAGTTCTTATGACCTTAAATAGCATCTCTTTATTGAAAATTTTCAAAATTATATGTCCAGCTTAATCTTCTCCCCTGAGCTGCAGACTGGTATATCTACCTGATTTTTATTTTTTTTTTTCTTTTTTAAAAATGTCTTTCCTTGGATCTCTATTAGCATCTAAAACTAGAGTCTTGATTATTCCAGCACCCTGCTCAAACTTACTCCTCCTTCAGTATTCTCTAACTTAGCAAAATATCTCTACCATTCACCAAGTTTCTCAGGCCATAAAACCGAGGAGTCAACCTTTAACAATATTAGCTGTGCTTATCACTTGACATCTAATCTGTCAGCAAGTCTCATCAGTTCAACCTTCAAAATTAAAAGATAATTCTTACAGCTCCTCTAGAAGGAAATATTCCAAATCTAATTACTTCTCATCACCTCTGTTGGTACATCCCTCAACATATCTTACCCAGACTACTGCACTGGACTCCCAACTACTCTCTGCCTCCAGTCTTTCCCCCTCTATAATCTATTTTCTCTTTTTTGTCATGAAATCCTGCCATTGGATATAATCTGTTTTCTATACAGCAACCATAGTGCTCTTCTAAAAATGTAAATTCCCGTTTTATTCCAGCTTAAAACTCTACACTGGCAGTCATCGCCTACCACTTTCTGTTTTTCTGTTCCACTTTGGTTATGCTGACTTTCTTCCTATTTCTTCTGCTGGATATTAACTTTCCTCAGATCTCATTTAATTCAGTTCTTTCTTCAAATAATACCTCTGCAGAGAAGTCATCCCTATCTAAAATATTCCTTATATTCACATACTCACACTCTTTTTTGCCCTCTTTTCTTTTTCTTTGTAGCATGTCTCACTATGTGAAATTTTATTATTTTTTTATTCACTTCATTATCTGTTAAGCCATCCCTTCTAAAATATAAATCCCAAGAGCAAGGACGTTTTCTCGTTCAACACCATATTCCAAACTCCTAGCAATACCTGGCCCACAGTAGTTAATCAGTTAATATTTATTGAATGCATGAGTAAAATTGTTTGGATTCATGTTCCCAGATAATTCTTCCTAAAGTTCAGCCCTTAAAATTTCTGTCCAGCTACCTCATCACCCATTATTCTACCCCTACAATCCACACCCCCATATAAAAATCAGTCAGACAAAAAATGTTAGTATCTTCCATTTCAAACAAATTTAATTTCTTATTCCAGCACCTCCATGATTTTATCCCATCTGTTTTGGGTAACTATACACTGTTTTTGAGCATAAATAACCATCTTATCAATGTCAAAGCTTAACTTTTAAAAATCATTCATTTTGCTTTAGATCACTCTCTTGATGGACCTCTTACAAATGGTGATGGCAGAGAGCCCCGGACAGGAATCAAGAGAAAATTACTTAATGCTTCAGAAGAAGATGAAAGCATGGGAGGAGAAGAGAAAGAGGAAAAAGAAACAAAAGAGAAATCACATTTATCCTCCTCAGAGAGTGGAGAGTTAGGATCCAGTTTAAGTTCTGAAAGTACCTGTGGGTCTGATTCTGACTCTGAATCAACTTCCAGAACAGATCAAGACTACGTAGATGGAGACCATGACTATAGTAAATTCATACAAGCCAGACCTAAAAGAAAACTCAGAAAGCAACATGCCAATGGAAAAAGAAACTGGAAGACAAGAGGCACAGGAGGAAGAGGCAGATGGGGAAGATGGGGTAGATGGAGTAGAGGAGGCAGAGGAAGAGGTGGCAGGGGACGAGGGGGTCGAGGAAGAGGTGGAAGTGGCACTAGGGGAAGAGGGAGAGGGAGAGGTGGAAGAGGTGCTTCTAGAGGAGCCACCAGAGCCAAGCGAGCACGTATGGCAGAAGATGAATTTGACACCATGTTTTCGGGACGATTCAGTAGACTGCCTCGAATTAAAACAAGAAACCAAGGCAGGAGGACTGTTTTATATAATGATGATTCTGATAATGACAATTTTGTGTCCACTGAGGATCCTCTGAATCTTGGTACATCCAGATCAGGCAGAGTGCGTAAAATGACAGAAAAAGCCAGGGTTAGCCATCTCATGGGATGGAATTATTAACAGTTAATAAATTTAGAATAATTTAAAAAATTCAAAGGCCTTCTACTGCAGGGAATTTACCAGGAAATCTACAAAGCAAATTGTGTGGGGACTTCTGCTTCCTTTCACATTGGTGCTTTTCCATTTATGCCAGTATACATTTGTTTCAAGACTTTTGATCTCCACACTTCATTTGTTCTAACAAGCCTTACTCATTAGGCCTTAAATTAAAAGAAATTCTGCCCCCCCACACACACACGTGTGCGTATGCGTGCGTGTGTGTACATGCACGCGCACACACACACTACAGATTTACTACATTAAAGGAGCATTCAGCTTCTTAAGAGTTGCATGACATTTTTATCTCAGTAGAATATCCCTCTTTTGCTTTTGTATCACAGAAGTTTAGCACCTTCTTATAGAGTTTTATATAGTTTGTTTTTGCCATTTTGATTCCTATACCCAGTAATAATTTTTGCACAATACACCAATCCTAAAGGCAGCTATTAAATGTTTACAGTTTCTATATTGTAAGAACGATCTGGATTATTTTACTTTTCCCAGGCCAAACTTTCATGAATTGTACTGAACTGAAGTATATATTTATACTACAGTTTTTTTGGGGGGTGGGGGGATCTTGATATGCTTTTCATTGATTTGCTTAATTCACGTTAAAGGTGAGAAAGGGTTGGTGCCTTGTAAATATGTAGCAAATCTTTGTGGTATGTCCTGATGTGTGCATTAACTTTATTAAAAAAGAATACTTGAGGTATCAATCTAGACAAGGTGCCAAATGCAAAAGTTTCTTGCATCCATTTTCTTTTTCCTTTTATATTTTCTTGCATTAATAGGAATTGTGTAGCTTAAAGAATAACTTAAACATTTGAAAAATCCTCATCCACAAAGAATAACTTCTTTGAACAGTAGCTCAGCTACCTCTTAACTACAACTACTGGAAACGTTAAGGAAAATAGATGCTGTTATTCATTACTGACTAAGGAGAAATAGAACAATCTTAGTAGGAATGAATACTCATAAACTGAGAGGTTAAAAATCATATTGGCTCTCAATAGTTGTAATTAACAAATTTTCATAAGTATAGTATGCTCTACCTTAGGCTTTCTTAGAACATATTTGTCTAAGTAGACTTGGGCTACTGCTTATATTTCTGCCACCACTTACTATTCAACAGCTGTGAGTTACTGATTTCATTTGAATCTTAAAATTTAACAAAGCACCTAGATTAAGTTGGAATGTGTTGGCTAGCTAGTATTTTGAGTCAAGCTTAGTAGCTTCTTCTCATATCATTCCAAAGGGTTCTTCTGTTTTAGTCTTTCTGAAAAGAATCTCACTGCACTGCACACTGATATTTTGAATCATTATTTTATAGATGGAAAAAATCTTCAAAAACTCTTACGGTCTTGTTTACATCAGTAGAGTGCACATTGTTCCATAAGTGAGCTTGAGTTCCAAGATCAATTTTACTCCTCAAACCTGAGATTGCAGATTTGATAATTTGTTAGATATTTAGATTTTTGATGTGAGAGGAATAATATTGATCTCTGTTTTTGTAATAGCAAATTTGTTACACTTAGACATGTGGCATAAAACAGACTTAATGTATACCTAGTTTTCCCAGGATATTTCTTAAGCTAATGTGTTTGTTTCATGCTTTCAGTCATTTCATGCATCTGAAAATCCTTAAGCGCAGAGGAAGGAGTACACACATAACTTTGCTTTTTTGGAAGTGTTGGGGTGGGTGTTAGAATAACATCTTTAAGCAATTTTCACTTGCAGTAGAAATGATGTTCAGGCTTTAAGAAAGTATTGTTGTGAATCATTAATGGCACTAACTTCTGTTACTGGACAGTAGAGCAAGCTGATATTTTTTTGTTGTTGTAGTCTTTTTTTCACTAAACCAAAACTACTGGTTGTAACTCAGCTGCCACTTTTAACCATAGTATAGATTCAGAATGTTCCTAGTTGAAACTACATTTGATTTTTACTAAAATATTCTATTTCATTTATTCATCTCTTGGGCATTTAGACTAAATTGTGCCTGTGTTTTCCTGGAATCAAAGGATTATGCCTACCCTAATCAAAGTAATCTAGTTACTTAAATTCCTGGATATACCCAAATGTGGATCACGTGTATCATTTTAGTGTGTATTTTTTTTGTTAATATTCTTCTATGAAGAGCTGACCTCTTGAAATGTAGAAGAATTGCCGTTTGTGTGATTTTAGCTTTCTGGGGCTTTATTTATAATTTATTTTGAAAAATAAAGATGCCACATTTATTCCCCAAATGTCAAGATTTTCTAGGTTTAGATAATTAGAATAATAAGGCTGAAAACATTTTTAAGCATATTTTATATGTAGTGAAATACTGTGAAAATACTAGTGAACAGCATTTTGCTGTATTGTTGATTTCAGTTATTAAGATTTAAAGAGTTAGTCACCACAGTATGTTAGATGAGCTTAGTTATCATTTATTACAAAACAAACAGATAATTTTATGTTCGCATGCAAATTATTTTAATAAGTGTGAAAATAGAAGTTTGGATGATATTATTTTTACTTTTATATCTGGACTTTTTTTTCCCCAGAATTTATACTTTGTTTTTTTGTAACACCACCTCCTGTGAATGTGTTGTAATTTGTGTCACTTCAAATACTTTATCATTTTAATTTTTTCAAGGCCCTTTAAACCTAAATAAGATCTGAGTTCAGCCATAGCAAAGCAAGTAGGAAATGAGCTAAGAATTTTTAAGAAAAGTCTAAATAAGTTGCTACGAAAAACCACTGTTATATTTAGGTCCATGAGAGCATACACATGTATAAGCCTAATCCTATGCTAGATATGAATAGTGAGCTGTTAAATTTCTCATAAAAGCTAATAATGTTTAAATTCCAAGCTTTAGGATCTTAGCATGTGTATATATTTATAAAACCTGAATTGTATATTTCTTCTATGGCTTGCTGTGTATATCTCTTCCAGCAATAGGATGCTCTCCAAAACATTCACTACCCTCTTAGCCTAATGACTAAATTTGTTTTTGTATTTGTATGTGTGTGCACTGGTGTGTATATGGGTTTTTTTCCCCCCAACTTGACACACCTTATCTCAAACGTAAAAGGATATTTTATATGGAGGATACTATCTACCAATTCTTTTCCTCTCTCTGGCCTTTAGCCTGTATATTTACTGCTTGACCATCCATTTCATTATACCTTCTAGATAACCAATCCAGGTTTTTTCATGTACCTATTTTCCTCTATTCTTTTAATTTGTCCTTTTCTTTCTTTTTCTGTTTCCCTCACCAGAGATCAGGCTTATGCTACAATTCTTCCCTACAGCATTCTGTTTCAACCAGAGGCAAAGAAACTGAGTAAAAATTATAAATTTTGTTTTGCAAAACTGTGTGTTCAGATATCAAACTCAGCCTTCCAATGCTTTGAGATACATTTGAGAGATTTATCTTTTTTGTTGTTTTAATCCCATAGATTGTCATCAGACTATTAATAATAGAGTGAAAGAGAAAAATGTGAATGCCACTTCTAACTTTTTGATAAAACTTTTTTGAGCATTTTTCAAAATTTGTATGTTTCTGGTAATGATAAATTAAACACCTTATTACATATCTTGGGAATCATTTTATACACATTTACCAACTGGTACTTATCTTCAAAGTTGGAATTTTCACATCCTTGAAAAGGAGACTTGCTTTATGTTTAATTTTCAGTATACTTTGATTTCCAGACTTTTAAACAATTATGATAACATTTTGAGTTGTGAAATGAATAGTTTCGTGTTCTGGGGGAAGAGATGGAACTTTTGACATTTAAATCCCCAACATTTTTGTGGTATATAAGGCTTTGTGAAAGTTTTATTGAAAAATAGAATATTCTAAGGTCACTTTTAAGGCTTGTTTTAAAAATTAGTGTGAAAATATTTCCATGCTTTTTTTGCTTTTCATTTCTTAGCAAATTGTCTTTACCAAGTTTTGATTATCAAATTTATCAAGTTTTGATTAAATTCCAATATAAAGTTATTTTTTTCATGGTGCTGTATTTTATGGAATATGGGTAACACTCAGGTTTCTTGATATTTTATTTTTACATAGCCTTATCGTTATTTCCTTTTTCATCTTTCTGCTTACTTTTATCCTCACTTATCTTTCTGCAATGAAGACTGTACCTAATTTAGCACACTTCGACAAGACTGGAAATTTCTGAACCATTGATGGGAGAAATATAGTAGAAAAGCCCTGCAGTTTAGAGTTAAGGTGTATTTCCTTATTTATATGTATGCCCATTTCTTATTCTTATGCCTATCTTAATTAAATCTAGAATATGAGACTTTGACATATAAAAGCATGATAAGTATTTTCTAAAAAAATAAAACTATTGATACATATTGAAACTGCCATTGGTAATTGACTTTTAAAATCACGTACAAAATTATTTAGAAATCCAGTTGGCAAATGTGTTTTTACACATGTCACCAAGTACACATTAGGCAGTACTACAAATGTTAATTCTTTAAACAATACTGTGGTGATGGCAATCAGTAATTTATTTCTTTGTCCTGTAACTTATCATCCTTGTCTTTTGTAATCCCTTACACAGTATTAACAAACCTGTACCTTATGTTCTTAGTATCCGTAAATTTTAAGATGGAAAATCATTCAATTAATAGTTGATGTGATGTTGTATATGGGCAAAATGTCCATTAAACTAAAATTCAGTAAAGAAAGGTAAGCTAAACTGGCTTGGTTTATAAAAGATGTTTTGTTTGGCAGTTGTCAGTCATTATAAGCAATTATCTTCAAAGACAAAAAACTGGACTAATTTGTTGCCATTCTTTATGGGATGTTTACAATAAAATTCCAAGTTGTTTGGAATCAGTTGCACTCTTGCTGCTTTATGCCTTAACTCATGTAGCAGAGATAAATTAACAAGAAGAAAGAAATATGAACTTACCTTTCTATTATCAGCTTTAGAGATTTTAACACGTAACTCTTGGGTCGTTCTTTTCTTTCTTGTTTCTTTGTCAT